GGACTGGAGCCCGCCCCGTGGAGGACTGGAGCCCCCCGTGGAGGACTGGAGCCCGCCCCGTGGAGGACTGGAGCCCGTCCCGTGGAGGACTGGAGCCCCCCGTGGAGGACTGGAGCCCCCCGTGGAGGACTGGAGCCCCCGTGGAGGACTGGAGCCCCCGTGGAGGACTGGGAGCCCCCCGTGGAGGACGGGAGCCCCCCGTGGAGGACTGGAGCCCCCGTGGAGGACTGGAGCCCCCCGTGGAGGACTGGAGCCCCCGTGGAGGACTGGGCGCCCCCCGTGGAGGACGGGAGCCCCCCGTGGAGGACTGGAACCCCCCGTGGAGGACTGGAACCCCCCGTGGAGGACTGGAGCCCCCGTGGAGGACTGGGTGCCCCCCGTGGAGGACGGGAGCCCCCCGTGGAGGACGGGAGCCCCCCGTGGAGGACGGGAGCCCCCCGTGGAGGACGGGAGCCCCCCGTGGAGGACTGGAGCCCCCGTGGAGGACTGGGCGCCGCCCGTGGAGGACTGGAGCCCCCCGTGGAGGACGGGATCCCCCCGTGGAGGACTGGAGCCCCCCGTGGAGGACGGGATCCCCCCGTGGAGGACTGGGAGCCCCCCGTGGAGGACGGGAGCCCCCCGTGGAGGACTGGGAGCCCCCCGTGGAGGACTGGAGCCGCCCGTGGAGGACTGGAGCCCCCCGTGGAGGACTGGGAGCCGCCCGTGGAGGACGGGAGCCGCCCGTGGAGGACGGGAGCCCCCCGTGGAGGACTGGAGCCCCCCGTGGAGGACTGGAGCCCCCGTGGAGGACTAGAACCCCCCGTGGAGGACTGGCTTCCCTGTGCTGCGGGCGGGAGATGGGTCTGTGGGCCCGAGGAGGGTCTGCCTGTCCCAGAGGGGGCCGGGGAAGGGTCCCAGCTGACCCTTGGGGTGCTGGATGAGGGTGATGTAACCACCCTGAGCTTCGGATTCCGTGGGGGAGTGAGGACAGCCATGGACGCCTTGTCAGGATGGGGCCCGGGGCCGCGGTGCAGGGTCTCGGCGGGGCCTGGCGCACAGCGGGTCTCCTGGGCAGGACGCCCTGGCGAGAGGCCGCTGAGGACGTCTAAGACCGTTGCTGAAATTGCACGTGAGGGCGCGAGCGGAGAAGCTGGTCACCATCACGGAGGCTCGCTCTACCGAGTGCGTGGAAATGCTTCGCAGACCGCTCACCCGCGTCCCTGCGCCGCTGGCCGGGGCTCCGCACAGCCGCTTCACCTGCTTCGGAGAAACTGAATCCTGAACCGCGTCGGAACGGACCTTCCACACCTCCCGTGGCTGCTCAGCACGGCCACGGGACAGACAGCCACGGGACAGACAGCCACGGGACAGACAGCCAGGGACAGACCCACGGCCGACGTCAGCCTGTGCTCGGCCAGCGCTGCGTCCTGCCCTGACTCCCTCGTCTGACGATCGAGTGGTAGAAAAGGGTGTGCGTGGCCGAGGGACATGGTAGCTGGATTGTGTCCCCCCCTCCCACTGAGCTTTCCGTTAAATTGCTTGGGATGTAATCCTCCTCCGAGAGTTATCCCTGTGGCTGGTCCCCTGTTGGTTCTGCTTCCATCTCCATGTAACACGTTTACACCGAGGAGGAGCCAGTCTCAACCCGACAGAGCTTTGCCGAGAGAATGACGAGACCGGAAGCCGCCGTGTCTGGGCGTGGGCTGGGGGTCCCGTGGTAGCTCCTGTCTCCCGGTCAGTGGGTGGACAGCGGCCGGACAGCGGCTGCTGGGACGTGGTTTCATCTCTGCCAGCTGGGGCAGGTGCGGGAAACGCCGTGTGGAACCATGAGCAGCAGCTGACACTCCCTGAGCTGGCGTGTGCTTCCGCGAAACCACGTGGGCCGCAAGGAGCTGGTGGAAGCAGGTTCCCCCCGTGGCACCCAGGCGAGAAGGCTCCGACCCCTGCGTGGGCCCCGTAGAGGGCACGCTGCCCCCGTGCACGGCGCCCGGAACCGCCCGATTGATTCGTTCTCCAGATGGAAACGTTCATTTCCAAACAGGAGCTTTATTTATTTATTTTGGTTCCTCAACCGAGTATATTTTCCCATTGATTTTTAGATAGCTTGGGGGGGGGTGGGGAGGAGGGAACGAGACAGAGAGAGGGAGAAGCATCTGTGTGAGAGGGACACATCAATTGGCTGCCTCCTGCACGACCCAGACTGGGGCCAGAGATCGAACCTGCCGCCCAGGTAGGTGCCCTTGACCTGGAATTGAACCCGAGACTGAGGTCTGAGGTTCTTTTTTGTTTTTTTTTTTAATAAAACTTTTTTTTTTTCTTCTTCCTTTATTGATTTTTTTAGAGGGAGAGAGAAATAGAAACATTGATGAGAGAGACATCCATTGGCCGCCTCCTGCACGCCCCCCACTGGGGATCGGGTCCACAACCTGGGCATGTGCCCCGACCGGGAATCGAACTGGCGACCTCTTGGTGCAGGGTCGACGCTCAACCCCTGAGCCGCACCGGCCGGGCTAGGAGCATCATTTTTTAAAACAAGGGCTGAACAAAAGCGTTTTATTGTCTAAAATGTCTGTTTTGGGGGACGGGAGTGTAGAGACCTGAGCACTGAGGGGCGCAGAGTGTGAACAGCATGTGGAAAGCACCCCCCCCGCATGTGCAGCCCCCGGACAGGCACCTCGCAGGCTCCGCGGTGAGGTCGCCTGAGGCACGTGGAAGACACCGGAGGCGGAAGGAAACCTTGCCCTCCAAGCAGAGGGCCGGAGAAGAGCATCGCATCAGGGATCTGGGCGGAGTGTTCGGCGCCCTGTCCTTGTGCAGGATGCGTTTGCTTCAGCCACGGGGGAGAAGAAAGAGCGGAGCCTCGTGAAGGGGTCTGAGGCCATGCCAGCGTGGGAGGGCTCCCCCATCTAGCAGGTCTCCGACACCAGGGGGTGCATGACAGTTGATCCCCTGACTGTCAACCAGACTTCCTGGGACCCTCCTGGGTCTGGCTCCCAGAACTCAGAGGCAGGTCTGACGTCCTCGATCACGGGAACAGGACGGGAGGTGCCCGGGGCGGGCAGGGAGGGGCGCGGAGCTGCTTCTCCGGGCAACACTCTCCCCAGGTGCCCCTGTGCTCCCCGACCCAGAAGCTTTCCAAACCCGTCGTTTTAAAAGAGTTTGTTTGGTCAAACTGAGGACCTGCTGCCAATGGGAGAGACCTCGAAGGCTCCGCCTCCGGGTGTCGTGGAGGCTCGTGACACCGGTGTGATGCCAGCTCGCGGAGGCTGTTAGCGGGTGGGGGTTCAGACCCTCTGCTGTGGCTGGTTCCCTGGCAACCACCTCCATGCGCAGGTGCTTTCGAGAGTCACCTCGTTAACAAACCCCGTCCTGGCGACTCCCTTGCACCTTTGCTACTCTGAGACCTCAGGCTCCGTGGGCTGGAGGCCAAATACCGTGGCTCTCACAGCGTATCCTCGGGAAACGCCACAGGTTTTGGGCGCTGTGAGCCAGGAACCACGGATGAGGACCAAACATGTGAGAGGAACATGTATCGGTCACCTGAGCGCCCAGCTAGGTTTCTTAGAAGTCACAACAGCCCACTTTTCGAAAGAATGGCGACCTCAAGTGCTTTGTAATTACTTACGTGAATGAAACACTCAACAAGCCCTTGCGTGCCCGGGACAGAGTGGTTTGTGAGGGACGCAGGACAATCGGGGGGAAGCCCGAGCCTGTGAGGGCCCAGCCCTGGGCCCACCTCCTGCTCTGTGCCCCCGGGAGTGGAGATGCCCTCACACCCAGCAGGTGACGGTTGAGCAAAGGGAGGTTGGGCAGTGAGCTCCCCGATGGCCAAGGAGGAGCACTCAGTGGGGGGAACAGCCACCGTGAAGCCCCAGAGGCAGGACAAGCCCGTGACGCTGGATGAGGTGGAGGACGGGGAGCTGGAGTGGGGGTGGGGGAGGGGTCAGAGAGGAGGGGTCCAGAGAGGGAAGCCCTGCAGGGTTTCAACAGCCTGGGGCTGTGGTGGGGGCTGGAGGAGAGGAGGCCCGTGGGGGTACTTTAACCCAGGGGAGAGCTGTGTCTGGCCTCTCCCCCTGCCGCTGGCTGTGCGTGTGCGTGCGTGTGCACGTGTGTGGTGTGTGTGCGTGTGCGTGTGCGTGCAGTGCCCGCCTGCGTACACCACACAGACCCTCCAGGCACCGTCATCCTGCTACATGACTGACCAGTGGCCAATCGTCTTCTATCTATGCCTCTGACTTTGCGCCTCCTCAGCATTTTGAGGGAAATTCTCTAGGTCACTTTTAAGGTTCTGGATCTGATCTGAAGGTAGATTGGGGGTGAGGCGTGAGGGGAGGAGGAGGTGAATGAGCGATGACTCCAAGGTTTGGCTCCCGCAGCTGGGAAGGTGGGTGAGTGGCCGCTGCCTGAGAGGGGACGGGACCGGGTGGAGCGGGTCGCGGGGAGCAGTCAGTCCTGTCCCCAAAGGCCCTCTCCCTCCCCCGACTGTCTTCTCAACCTCTCAGTGAGGGGCTGGGAGTCGCCTTCATTCCGTCAGTCCCCACTGATGACCCCTGGTCCCGAGTCCTCCTGGATGGGGCAGTCACTCAGCATTGTCGCCCGTGGGCGCCCGTCTCCTGGAGTGGGGGAGCCTCTGCGGCCAGAGTGTTCCGTCTGTACCCCATTTCTTGCCAGGGCTCGCGCCTCATTGCTCAATCAGTGTTTTTTGAATAGATCCAAAGACTATTAAAAGCAAATTATTCTTTTCTAAAGTGACAAGCTGTTCCCTTTCTAACACTTGTGGGTGTGGCAGCGGGTCTGTAGGTTTCATTCTTTACGTTTGAGGGACACCCTGACCCCATTTGCTCCCGCTCAGTGTCTGTGCAGAGTCGCCTTTAATTCCTCCTGGAGGGATCGCAGGGTGGGAGGCACCTGCCACATCCCGCGGACAGCGTGGGTGCTGTTTGCACCCCTCAGACCCGGGTTTGGGAGCCCGGCCGCCCACACAGCCCGAGCGTGACCCGCCTTTGTCCTCGGCAGGAGCTATGGCTGACTTGCCCAGGGAGGGGAAGCTGGCCAGGTCTCCGGACTTCACCCAGCTGATCGACATGGCATCGGAGTCCGTGGGAGGCAAGGTAAGGGGGTCTCGTGGCAGGAACAAGGTGGAGTGCAGCCGTGGGACAAGGCGCAGCGGTGGGCACGGGGACGAGGCGCAGAGTTGGGCACGGGGAGGAGGTGCCCGCAGTGCTGTATCCGACACTGGCACCCTGCGGGAATGATGTGAAGTCCGGAGGAGAGCTGGCTCCAGGCCCTCCGTGGGAGCCCTCAGCTCCACTGCGGGCACCTGGGTGGGTGGGGCAGGCGGGAAGAGCTCTCCAGGTGAGCGATGCTCAGCCAGGGGAGGGAGCTGGCAAGGCAGAGAAGGGGCGTGTTTCAGACAGAGGGTGCTGGGAGGGTTGAGTGTTTCTGGAACATTCCAGGTGTTTGTGGGGTGTGGGAGCACGAGCCTGGAGAAGCAGGAAAGGCCCCAGGTGCCCCTGCGGGTGTCCCTGCGGAGCCCGAGGGACCTGGAGCAGGAACGGACCCAATGGTCCACTCACCTGTGTGTCGCCGACTTACTCTCGGGCAGGTCCACCCCAGGCCGCAGGTCCTCGCCTGCCTGTGGGCTCAGACCTGTGCACTGGCCCCTCTGGGCTGCCGCTGTCACTGGGCCTCGGTTAGACGGGTGCCCAGCGGCCCGTCTCACTTGGAAAAGCCCATCTCACCCGATTTCTCGGTGTGGTTCGGAGCTCACGGCCTCACTCACACTGTCCGCTGTGGGCCGGGCTCCCAGCCGCCCGCCAGGGACCCGCACAGGCCTGCGGAGTCCTCTGTCCCGACCCTGGAGGGGAGGCCCCTGCTCAGCTCCCCCAGAGGGCGAGAAGGTGCTTCCGCCTCCGCCCAGTGGGAAAGGGGAGTAAGAAGAGAGGGCCGGAGGGAAGATTCCTAATGTTCACCAGGGAAGGACGTAAAGTGGGTTTAACTTCTGTTATTTTATCTTCTTTCTTTCTTTATCTGCCCAGATTTTGTTTGCAACGGACGACTTCTTCGCTCCCGCGGAGAACCTCATAAAGGTACTGCCAGTGGGCGTCCTGACTGCGGTGCGGTGCTGGTGGGCAGTGGCGGGAATGTCCCGCAGTCGGCGGGTCACGGGCTGCGAGCCCAGGTGGGCGTGTGAGCAGCGTCGGCAGAAGGATGAGGCGCAGCAGATGCTGTGGGGACCTGACGTGGGACTGGGGGCCGCATTGCTTTGTGGGGGTGACCGAGCCCCTCGCTGTGGCTCCTCCAACGTGGAGCAGAAGCTGCGTGGGGAGGAAAGGGGCACCCGGCTTGCATTTATGGGAAGATGTTTACCTGCCTCATGATAGAGCCTGGGGCACGTTTACTGTAGATAGACAACACTGCCCGGGAAACTCTGCAGGAGCCCTGAGGCCGTCCGCCTGCGGGTGGGGGAGGGTCCTCGTGCGGTGCACAGTTAATGCCTGCGGGTGGGGGAGGGTCTTCGTGAGGTGCACAGTTAATGCCTGCGGGTGGGGGAGGGTCCTCGTGAGGTGCACAGTTAATGCCTGCGGGTGGGGGAGGGTCCTCGTGAGGTGCACAGTTAATGCAGCGAGTGTGACTGCACCCAGGGTCCCTGCTGGGGCAGCGCGCTGTCCTCCCCTTGGTCACCGGCCATCCGGTCACTCTGGTGCAACGGTCACTCTTTGGGGCAGGACCTGGCCAGGTCCCCAGCACGTTGAAGTCTGACCCTCTGAGGGCATCTTGTGCATATTAACTTATTCCCCAGAGAAATCGCTCACAAAACGAGGGACAGAGATGTCGATAGACTAGTCCTAGACCACACAGCCAGCACAGGTCAGAGCCTTTGCCACTCACCCATGTCTGTCTTTGGGGGGTCAGTGTGCACAGATCCACGAGGATCCGGCGTCACGGCACCCCTTCTGGGGCAGCGACCGCCCCCCTTCCAGACGAGGAGGGGGCTCAGCCCCTTGTCCCAGCGACTCCAGTCCACACCTTTCCTTGGGTGGCCCCAGTGACTAGGGTGCTGGGTCAAGGGTTCAGCTGGTCCTGATCACCCGCACTAGCCCAGTCACTTGGTTGACTTCTTACCAGCTCGTCTTTTCTGGTGGCTCCGGGACTCTGCTCTCTCTCCTTGCCTGTGGCCTCCTGGAGGCTCCAGGCTGCGTGGGCGCGGCCCCCCGTGGGCCCGGGCACTTGCTGTCACTCCGTGGTGGTGCTGTGCCCCGAGGCCTCAGGGCAGCACCTCCTCCGAGGGCAGCAGGGGGAGGGGAGGCACCTGGGTGGCTGGGGCAGGAAGGAGGCAGCCACGCCCACGCCCACGGGGAGCCCTAGCGTCCAGTGCGGCCTGTCCTCCTCCAGGGCAGAGGTCGATGCCCCGGGACACCGGCCCTCGCTCGGATGTTTGTCACTGACCTGTCGTGCGTCTGTGCTGCAGAGTGACAGCCCGCGCCGCGGAGACGACGAATATACCGAGTTCGGCAAATGGGCGGACGGCTGGGAGACCAGACGAAGAAGAGCCCCAGGTAAGAAGACGATGACTCGCTCGGTACCGGGAAGTTCAAGACGGGCTGTTGGGCCAGGCGCGTTGGGGGGCAGTTGTTACTTTATTTTAGTTAATAAAATATATTCTTATTGATTTTTAGAGAGAGAGGAAGGGAGAGAGAGAAAGAAACATGGATGTGAGAGAGACATGGATCAGCTGCCTCCTGCACGCCCCCCACTGGGGATTGAGCTGCAACCCGGGCACGTGCCCTGGGGAATCGAACGGGTGCCCTTTTGGTGAAGGGATGACGCCCAGCCAACTGAGCCACACCGGCCACGGCTCAGTTTTAACGCGGGTGCTCTGTGCCCTCCCATGTCCTGGGGAACCTGGGCTCAGAGCCTCCAGGAAGGGGGGTGAGACCTGGTCCTGTGTGCCGCTGGGGGGAGGGGGAGCACGTGCCCCCACATCTGGTCTTCACAGCTGCTCTCTGAAGGACACGGTCTCCTCCCCATCTCGTTGCTATGGAAACAGACATGCCCCTTAGCCCAGGTCACAGAACTGCAACTAAGCCTGGAAACAGACAGACCTGTCCGAGGCCACTGTGCTCTCCATTCACCCGAAGGTGTTCCTTCGATTCATTGCTACCATCACAATGCACCTTGTAGCCTGGCCTGTTCGGCTCAGCGGTTAGAGTGTTGGCCCGAGGACCAAAGAGTCGTGGGTTCGATTCCACTCAAGGGCACGTGCCTCAGTTGCAGTTGGGTCCCTGGCCCTGGTGGGGGTGGCACGGGAGGCAGCCAGTTGGTATGTCTCTCTCACGTTGATGTTCCTCTCTCTCTCCCCCTCCCACTCGGTCTGAAAATAAATGGAAAAATATCCTCGGGTGAGGATTGAAAAACCAAACACACGTGTTAAAGTTGAACCTGCGTGGTGCAGCCGCTCTGAGCAACGGCCGGCCCTCTGCGTCCGCAGGTCACGACTGGTGCGTCATCAAGCTGGGCGTCCAGGGCACCATCCGGGGTTTCGACGTGGACATTTCGTACTTCCCGGGAGACTATGCTCCCCGAATCTCCATCCAAGCAGCAAACCTGGAAGAAGGTGTCTGGAGAACCCCTGGCCCCAGGGTGGCGCGTGGGCTCCCGAGGCTCCCCTGCCCCCTGACCGTGCGCGTCCAGCCCAGACAGGCTCAGCAGCTGGTCAGGGCCACTGGGCCACCACGGCCGCGAGCTCGCGTTCCCGCAGCGTCTCTGTGGTTTTGGTGCTAGCTCAGCGCTGTTCTTTGACTGAGTTCAGTGTACATTGCTCACACTCTTTGGGCCTCACTGGAGACACATGGGGTGTGGAGGGCAGGTTGCGGGGAGGGTGGCAAGGCCGCCGGGCCAGCTGGACGACGGGGAGGAGGTCTGAGCCCGCCGTGGGCACAGCCCCTCAGTGATGCAGCAGCCCCACCCCTGGGGCTCCTCCCGGTGTGCCAGGTGCTGGACCCTCGGGGTCCTCGGGGCTCCTGAAGGACACCCGTCTTTCCCGTTCCGTCGTCCGCACGAGCTGGTGCTGGTCCCAGACACACGGGCCGTCACTTGGGTGCAGACACGTCCCTGGGGCAGTTTCTGTTGAAAGCACGGTGACCTCGGAGGCACCGCTCCTGAACGGCGGCGGGGGACCTGGACACAGGCCGCTGAGGGAGACAGGTTACCCTGCGAGCAGGAAATGACGCAGGACATTGTCCTCGTCCAGGAGTGGAGTGCTCCCACTTCTGACTCGCCAGGGATCCCTGTGGGACGCCCCTGGGGCCAGGGCACCCCGGGACCGCCCTCGCCAGCGGCCCACTTCGGAAAACCCGAGTCGTGATGCAGCTGTGGAAGGCGGACTTGACTTGGAAATATCACCATTTCGACGAGCCCACGTCCCACCAGACGTGTCTCACTGCTTCCGAAATGGCTGTTAGTCTTCCCGGTAGCAGGAACTTCTGATTTCCGACTCGAGAAAGACCAGCAGTGTTATTTGGCAAAATGAACATTTGCACACAGCCCTTGAAGAACGCACGTCCTTTCTGGTTTTATGTGAACTCTAACCCCAATGGTCACTCTAACTGCAGGTAAAGAACCAGAAATCCCACAAAGAGGGGTCAGGATGGGCGTGGCTGCCACCCCCGAGGAGTTGGAAGCTGTCGCTGAGGTAGGCCTCCCACGAAGGCCGGGTCGCGACAGGGACGCTGAGGACAGCAGGGAGTCCTCCGTGTCTCTGGCCACGCCTCAACGCACGCACCTGCCCCGTGGGAACGTGCAGATGTTTTGTGTGTGGCTCGTGCAGCCAGTGGCTGGAGGGAAGGCCGTGGCCATGCGGTCTAGGGAGTGCTCCTCCAGGGCCCACCCACCTGCGCCAGCCGCCCCTCTGAGCTAGAAGCCAAAACTGACAGAGTAAAGTACTTTTTTTTATCCTTACCCGAGGACATTTTTGCATTTATCTTCAGATAGAGCAGGAGGGAGAGAGAAACATTGACGTGAGAGAGACACATTGAATGGTTGCCATCCACACGACCCCAATCGGGGTCGGGGACAAACTGCAACCGAGGTACATGCCCTTAGCAGGAACCGAACCCGGGACTCTTTAGTCCGCGGGCTGATGCTCTGACTGCTGAGCCAAACTGGCCAGGGCGTAAAATACTTTTTATGGGAATTTTTTTTTGTTAATCCTCATCAGAGGATATTTTTCCATCGCATTTTACAGAGAGCAGAAGGGAGGGAAGGGGGGAGAGAGAAACATCGATGTGAGAGACACACATTAATTGGTGGCCTCTCTCATGGCCCGGCAGGGGCTGGGGACAAACCTGCATCCCAGGTACGTGCTCTTGACCAGAATGGAACCTGTGACCCTTTGGTCTGTGGGCCGATGCTCTAACCGCTGAACCAAACTGGCCAGGGCTTTTAATAGTAATTTAACAAAGTCACTTGATGCTTGATGAATTTCATACAATGACCAGTTTGGACTGTGTGTTGGCACATTCTTGCTTTTGAATGTTTATTTGCCCAGCCAGTAATTCATACTGTGTTGTACCAAAGCGTTGACCTGTAGCAGCCTAGGAAGCAAACAGCCACACCAGTGGGTTCCGTCAGAGAAGCGCTGATCTAGGGAAACTCGTTGCAGGGTTCAGGCCAAGCAGGGCACCCAGACCTCTGGTCCACGGCTGTAGCCCTGGCCTTTACTGGGATGTTCACATCACCATTCTGGGGGCTCCTTTCTGAGACTCCTCAGGTGAAGGCGTCTGGATGAATCTCAGATCTGCTCCTGCATCCCCAGCCCTCCCTGCCCACCCCCTGCCACCCCCTGCCCATCCCCAGCTCACCCCAGCCCTCTCTGTCCAGCCCCTGCCCTCCCCCTGCCCACCCCCTGTCCAGCCCCAGCTCACCCCAGCCCTCTCTGTCCAGCCCCTGCCACCCCCTGCCACCCCCTGCCCATCCCCAGCTCACCCCAGCCCTCTCTGTCCAGCCCCTGCCCTCCCCCTGCCCAACCCCTGCCCATCCCCAGCTCACCCCAGCCCTCTCTGTCCAGCCCCTGCCCTCCACCTGCCCACCCCCTGTCCAGCCCCTGCCCACCCCCTGCCCACCCCCTGTCCAGCCCCTGCCACCCCCTGCCACCCCCTGCCCATCCCCAGCTCACCCCAGCCCTCTCTGTCCAGCCCCTGCCCTCCCCCTGCCCAACCCCTTCCCATCCCCTGCCCACCCCCTGCCCACCCCCTGTCCAGCCCCTGCCACCCCCTGCCACCCCCTGCCCATCCCCAGCTCACCCCAGCCCTCCCTGTCCAGCCCCTGCCCACCCCCTGCCCACCCCCTTCCCATCCCCTGCCACCTCCTGCCCACCCCTTGCCCACCCCCTGCCCATCCCCAGCTCACCCCAGCCCTCCCTGCCCACCCCCTGCCCATCCCCAGCTCACCCCCTGCCCTCCCTGCCCACCCCCTGCCCTCCCTGCCCACCCCCTGCCCACCCCCTGCCCTCCCTGCCCACCCCTTGCCCACCCTGCTTACCCCCTGCCCACCCCCTGCCCACCCCAGCCCTCCCTTCCCACCCCCTGCCCTCCCTTCCCACCCCCTGCCCACCCCCTGCCCTCCCTGCCCACCCCCTGCCCACCCCCAGCCCACCCTGCCCACCCCCTGCCCATCCCCAGCTCACCCCCTGCCACTGTCACCCAGGGGCTTGTTGATCAGGTGTTTATTAAACCTGGGACCTGATCTTTATTACTGATTTATTTTTTTAAAATTTTTTCTTTATTGATTTTAGAAAGAGGAAGAAAGAGGGAGAGAGAGATAGAAACATCGATGAGAGAGAACATCGATTGGCTGCCTCCTGCACGCCCCCGACTGGGATCGGGCCCACAACCTGGGCATCTGCCCTGACCAGGAATTGAACCGGCGACCTCTGGGTGCAGGGTCGACGCTCAGCACTGAGCACACCGCCGGCGTCACTCCTGTTTGATTCGTGTCCCGTCGTTGGGGCACTCCAGCGTGCTCCCCGCACAGGCGCCGGGCACGGAGCCGCGTCCCTGCGGCACTGATGACGTTCCGTGCTTGCTTGCTAGCTGCGGTCCAGCGACTGGGACCTCTTGGTCCCTATGACGGAGCTTAAACCAGAGAAGCCTGCTTCCAGCCACAATTATTTTCCGGTTAATTCCCAGCAGAAGTGGACTCACGTGAGACTCAACATGTTCCCAGGTAAGATGAGCGACCCGTCGCCAAGGCCGCTTTCTCTGGCTCCTTTCTGGCAGGTTTAACACACGGAAGGCGCCCTGGCCGGTTCGGCTCAGCGGTTGGAGCGTCGGCCTGCGGTCCAGAGAGACCCAGGTTCGGTTCCCGCTCAGGGCACGTACCTCGGTTGCAGTTTGTCCCCGGCGATGTGTCCCTTTCACGTCGATGTTTCTCCCTCTCTCTCTCCCTCCCACTCTACCTGAACAAAATATCGAAAAATGTCCTCGGGTGAGGATAAAACAATAAAATAAACACGTCAAAGGCAGTCGCCTTCCTTCCTGGTCACTGACATCGCCAGCCCCCTAGGGCTGCGCTTTGCTCTTTTTGTTGCCTAGGACAATTCTAGTTTTAACCCACCTGTCCACAGGGAGTTATCGGAAACTCTCCAGTAAATCAGGCTAGATGGCCCCTAAGAATTTCACAGGTGTGCTAGCCGCTGCGGAGGTCTCTCCAAACACCCTCATTTAATTTTACTTTGTAACAGCTTTATGGTACTTCCTGTACCAATTTAAACTGTACAGTTCAATGGTTTATAGTATGAGGTGTAAGGCTGCATAAATATATAGTATATGTGTAACCACCACTAGAGTTAACTTTAGACATTTAAAAAAATATGTTTTTATTGATTTTTTAGAGAGAGAGGAAAGGAGAGAGAGATCCATTGCTGCCTCCTGCACGCCCCCTACTGGGGATGAGCCCCAAACCTGGGCATGTGCCCTGACCAGGAATCGAACCGGGACCTCTCAGTCCACGGGACGGCGCTTAGTCCACTGAGCCACACGGGCCAGGCCCTGGAGAACATTTTTATCACCACAGAAAGAAATCCCACACCCGATAGTAATCAACCCTCATCTCCACCAGCTCCAAGCAACCGTCCATCTGCTTTCTGTCTCGAGAGGTTTGACTGTTCCGCACATTCCCTGTAAGTGGTCGCTTGTGACTGGCGTCCGGGCTCAGCATGTGTCCGAGGCTCTTCGTGCTGCGCACATGTCCGTACTTCACTCCTTCTCGTGGCCGAATAAAATCTCATCGTGTGGATGGACCACACTGCTCAGCCATCAGCGGCTGCAGACGCTTGGATGGTTTCTACCGGTTGGCCCCTCAGGACCGACGCTGCTCCACGCGTGCCCGTGCCGGACTCTGGGTGGGCGCGTTCCATTTGGGTGTGCGCCTAGGACCAGAACTGCCGGGTCCTGTGAGAACTCTGTGATTGTTTGAGGAAGTGTCAGCTGTTTTTCCAAAGTGGCTGCCCGTGCACATCCGCCAGTGGTGTCCGCGGGCTCCGCCTCCACACCCTCCCCAACCCGGGTCGTGGCCGGGCTCCGGGGTCACAGCCGTCCTGGCGGATGTGAGGCCGTGTCTCCTGCACTGTTGGCATTTCCCTCACGGCTAGTGGCGTGGAGCACTTTTCCAGGTGCTTAATTAGCCTGTTTTCTTTGGGGAAATGTCTCTCCAGAGCTTTTGCCTGTTCTTAAATTGGGGCTTTGCCCTTAATTACTGAGTTATAACAGTTCTTTGTGTATTCTCAGTACAAAGCCTTTACCAGCTATGTGATTTGCAAGCATGTCCTCCCATTCTGGGGGTGTCTTCGCTCTCTGGACGGTGTCGTTCGTGCAAGCATGTCCTCCCATTCTGGGGGTGTCTTCGCTCTCTGGACAGTGTCGTTCGTGCAAGCATGTCCTCCCATTCTGGGGGTGTCTTCGCTCTCTGGACGGTATCTTTCGTGCAAGCGTGTCCTCCCATTCTGGGGGTGTCTTCGCTCTCTGGACGGTGTCTTTCGTGCAAGCGTGTCCTCCCATTCTGGGGGTGTCTTCGCTCTCTGGACGGTGTCTTTCATGCAAGCGTGTCCTCCCATTCTGGGGGTGTCTTCACTCTCTGGACGGTGTCTTTCGTGCAAGCATGTCCTCCCATTCTGGGGGTGTCTTCGCTCTCTGGACGGTGTCTTTCGTGCAAGCGTGTCCTCCCATTCTGGGGGTGTCTTCACTCTCTGGACGGTGTCTTTCGTGCAAGCATGTCCTCCCATTCTGGGGGCGTCTTCACTCTCTGGACGGTGTCTTTCGTGCAAGCGTGTCCTCCCATTCTGGGGGTGTCTTCGCTCTCTGGACGGTGTCTTTCGTGCAAGCGTGTCCTCCCATTCTGGGGGTGTCTTCGCTCTCTGGACGGTGTCTTTCGTACAAACATGTCCTCCCATTCTGGGGGTGTCTTCGCTCTCTGGACGGTGTCTTTCGTGCAAGCATGTCCTCCCATTCTGGGGGTGTCTTCGCTCTCTGGACGGTGTCTTTCGTGCAAGCATGTCCTCCCATTCTGGGGGTGTCTTCGCTCTCTGGACGGTGTCTTTCGTGCAAGCATGTCCTCCCATTCTGGGGGTGTCTTCGCTCTCTGGACGGTGTCTTTCGTGCAAGCATGTCCCCCCATTCTGGGGGTGTCTTCACTCTCTGGACGGTGTTTTTCGAGGAGCAACAACTAATTTCGATGGAGCTCAGCTGTGCGCTCCTTGCTGCTGCGTACGCGTTTGGAGGCCTTTCTAGGAAATCACTGTCAAATCCGAGGCCATGAGGAAAACCCCTGTTTTCTTTTAAGAACTGATCATTCTAGATGTAGGTCTTTGATCATTTGGAGTTAATGTTGTGTATGTGCCGGGAGGTGAAGGTTCAGCCTCACCCTCTCACACGTGGGCACCAGCTGTCCAAGGACCACTGCGGAGACTCCTCTTTCCTAAGCGAGTGCCTTTGGCCCCTCATCAAACATTAGTGAACTAGAGGACACATGGGCTTATTTCTGCATTTTAATTTCTTTAATAATTGTTTTCACTATTTTATTTTTATTTATTTTTTTAAATCCTCACCTGAGGATATTTTTTCATTCATCTTCAGATAGAGTGTGAGGGAGACACACACACACACACACACACACACACACACACACATCGACTGGCTGCCTCCTGCACAACCCTGACCAGGGCCCGGGACCGAACCACAACTGAGGCATGTGCCCTTGACTGGAATCGAACCCTGGACTCTGGTCTGCAGGCCAGTGCTCTAACCGCTGAGCCACACTGGCCAGGGCTTATTTTTATTCCTTTTTAAGGGAAACATCACCCGTCTAGAGCTCTACTTCCTGTCCTCTTTTTGGGGACGTTGTTATACAGAGCAGACCTATAAGCCCCGCCAGTGTGGCTCAGTGGGTGAGCGAAGACCCTGCACCAGGAGGTTGCCGGTTCGATTCCCGGTCAGGGCACATGCCCAGGCTGTGGGCCCGATCCCCAGCGGGGGGCATGCAGGAGGCGGCCAATCCATGATCCCAGAAGCACTGGTCTGAGTGCTGCCTCTGTTCTTCCCTGCCACCTGTCTGGCTCACTGTCGAGCTACAGTCTTATGGTTCACCTAGCTCTCTAGTGAACCCCCCGTCTCCACGTGGTGGCGCCCTCGGCTTGAGCTTCTCCAGATTCCGTGAACATGAACTCAGTTTACTGGGGAGAAATTTGGAGCTCTCTGTTCTGTGCCTGCTTCTTCCCCTGGGAAAAATCCCTGAGCCCTGGCTCTGCAGCTGGGACAATGGTGTACTCTCCTCAGTGACACCCCTGCATTAGGACGGGGTGCTCAGAGGAGGGGGCAGTAGCCTCAGGTCCTTCTGGCTTTTGTCTTAGTGTGGAACCTCTGCTCGGTGAGCTGAGACACTGGGGATCACGGCCCCAACATCGCAGCCTGGCTGTGGGTTTGGCAGAGCCCCTTCCCGTGAGCGGAGACTGGGTGAGAGAGGCGCCTCCTCTTTTCAACCATGCTCACCTGAAACTTAACCTTAGCAGCAGGCAGGTGGCACAGAATGACACACAATGACGCCCTGCCCCTCCCAGGCAGAAAGCCCCCCAGCTGGCAGCCGGGGGAGAGGGAACCTCGTGTTTTTGGCTGCACCGTCTGGAGTGAAGTCACCACCTCAATGAAGTGGGCTGAGGGAGCCAAGGTGTTGACCTGGTTCTAATACTAGAACATCCCTGTCCTTCCTGAATTTTAGTAGATTTTCTTGAATAAATGTTGCTTCATTTACTGTATGCCCTTAGGGCTCTTTCCAAAGATTTTAAGTGGCTTTGTTTGTTTGTTTTGTTTTGTTGTTTCTTCTAATTTTCACCAGCTTCACTGGGATCTCTTAGCCCTCATTTAGATGCCATGTATTTCTGGTTATCATGCTTTAAAGTAATACACTGCGTGTGAAGACCCCATATTGATCGCCGCAGTCTAGCTCCTGCTAAGTTACTCCCTCTAACGTATTTTCTAGGGTTTCCTGTCAATGTACTCTGGTTGTATTTATTGTAAATATCAAGCTTTCCACTGTTCTGCTGAGAGAGTTTCAGATGACTCAGTTTCACCAGATTTTTTTATGTGAAAATATATAGGCTTGGTTTCAGTAGAATATTCTGATAGTGATTTTGAGTTTTTATGGGGGGGGAAAAAGCTTGGCTCCTACCTTCTAGGAAATAATATTCAAACAAATAAAACACATTCACTTTACAGACCCAGATATTATGAGGTGGTCTTGGCAGCTATTTTCTGGTCTGCGGACCTGAACTTTGGCTACTGTGGTTCTCAGTAGCTGTTTGGTTTTGTGAGTGTTGACTTCTGTATTCTCACCAGCACTGCTAAATAACGTGTCACTGTGAAAGTGACAACATACGGCTCTTGCGTGAGTATGTGTGGGATTTAGCAATGCTCATTTCTGGCATCGAACATATTGATGGCAAATTAATCAACTGTTTCTTTGACTTCCCTGGAGTTGATTTACTACTAATAAAAAAAGAGCACCGCCTACGCCAGGACTGGTTCTAGGTAGAGAGGATGCAGAGGGAACACCGTAGGCAATGATCCTGGCCTCAAAGCCTTTATATTCTGGTGTTTGGGAGACGTATTCACAGGGACTTAAATAAAAAACAAGCTAATTCAGACTGTGATTAGGCTATGGTGTAACTATGCAGGGCAGATAATAAACTCAGCCTGGGGAGTCAGACAGGGGCCAGGAGATGACGTTTGAGCGTGCGAGGGAGGCCTTTCTGAGGCCATGACACTCAAGGGGAGCCCTCAGCACAAGGGCGCCTTTGGAGAGCTGGAGAAGCTGTCGCAGGACAAAGGAATGGCAAGTGCAAAGGCCCTGGGGCCAGCGCGCTTGGTGTATTTGAGCAACGAAGCGGCTAAATGTGAAGGGCTTTCGTAGTGTACAGTCCACAAACAGCCAGTTTTCCAACTAAAACGTGACTGAAGCACCTCTTCTTTCAGATGGTGGAATCGCACGTCTTAGGGTGTACGGTGTTGGACACAAAGACTGGACGGCCGCTGACCCCAAAGAGCCGCTCGACCTGGTGGCCATGGCCTATGGGGGTGCCTGCGTAGGATTTAGTAATGCACATTTCGGACACCCAAACAAAATGATAGGTGAGAGGGTGCTCGAGGGGCTGGCTTTGACCTGGGGTGTCTGCACACAGCATTAAGCACCCCACTCTGCTATGAAGGGGCCATCTCAAAGCATGGACGTGGATGAGCTGAATCGTCCGTATATAGGATTTGATGCCTTTATGATATGAAATAAGTCAACAGCAATTTTCCTTCAAAATTTTGGCTTTAGCAGTTGGTATAAAAGGAAGAGGGGGATTTACTTACCCTACGGCTGCGGCGACTCTGCTGAAACCGGAACTTCGGTGAAGGCGAGCGGCAGTGCCATCCGCCTGGGGCGCGTGAGCTCACCCCCCCGCGGAGTCGTTCTCGCCCAAGGTGAAGGCAGTGTGTCCGTTTCTTTCCCGCAGGAGTCGGCCCCCCGAGGTCGGCGGCGGACGGCTGGGAGACTGCGAGGAGGCCCGACAGGCCACCCGTCCTGGAGGTGAGCGGTGGCCGCAGGCTCACAGCTCTCTACAGAGTGCGCTTCTCGTTTCACAGCAAGGAGACTCGTACTGTCGAAACTTCCGTGCGTCGTTCTAAGAGTCATCACTTCCCGCGTTCCCGACCTCCCTGTTGCTTCCTTATAGCATCAGGGCAAAGACCCAGCAGGCCAAACACGCTGGTCCTCGCCAGCTAGTCAGCTGCGTTGTTGAATACGTTTCTTTAATAACGAAACAAAAGGAGCCCGGCCGGTGTGGCTCAGTGGCTGAGCGTCGACCCTGCACCAGAGGGTCGCTGGTTCGATTCCCGGTCAGGGCACACGCCCAGGTTCTGTCCTGATCCCCAGTGGGGGGCACGCAGGAGGCGGCCAATCGATGTTCTCTCATCCGTTTCTCTCTCCTTCTCCCTTCCTCTCTCTCTAAAATCAATAGAGGAAAAAAAGAAAAAAAAGAGAGGATTTACAGTAAAATGATATAAAACCCAGAATAAATGTATTGATAGACCTGGAGAAAAAACCAGTTTGGTCATGTTTAATATCTATTAATATAGATGAGACCACTTGTGTGAGCTTGGGACGGACCAGGGACCCTAGAGACGGCTCAGCTGTGTCACTTGCCTGGTAACTAATCAGAGAGAAGGAAATCCAGACAAAAGCAAATGAAGAAAATCACCTTCCAACTTGTAGATGCCACCGACAGCCAGGCAGGGCAACTTCTCTCTCGGGTTGGTTTTCCCATCGCCCGACGCCTCCAGACAGAGGTGCATGAACACTCCCCGCTGCCGACCAGGGCTGGAAGGCAGATGGTACACCTTGTTTCAATTTGCCCGAGAACGTATCTACTCGAAAGGTCAGAACAGACTGATGAGAGGTTTCCTGAGCTGGGTTAGGTGAGGCCCCCACCTGTACGGCATTCTACGTGAATTTATAACTGGCGCAGACATCATATTGGAAATCTGTGAAAATTGCCAGCTACCCAATAGACTCCTGAGTTAGCACGAGGCATTGCAGGGATGATAGTGAAGAGGAAACAGACACAAAAAGTAACTTATAAATCGGGCCAGAGAACACAGTTTATAGTAAGAGATGAGAGAAATAACGGAAGTGCATGTCAGCATTTTTCACTTGCTGGCTTCAGGTTGGTTTCTTTACTATTATTATTGATTTTAGAGAGAAAGGAAGGGAGAGGGAGAGAGAGAGAGAGACATCAGTGAGAGAGAACATGGATTGGCCACCTCCTGCACGCCCCTCACTGGGCATCGGGCCCACAACCTGGGCATGTGCCCTGACCGGGACTCAAACTGGTGACCTCCTGGGGCAGGGTTGACGCTCAGCCGCCGAGCCCCACCGGCCGGGCTCAGGTTGGTTCTTGGCGGCTGACATGTTCCCCTTGAATTCCAGCTTAATGGGGACGGTGAGCTCCTCATTCCCGGCTGTGAATGGGCTGTTTTCCGACTGGCACATCCCGGAGTGATAACGCAGATAGAAGTCGATACAACCTATTTCAAAGGTAAATGCAAAGTCGCGAGGAAAGGCGTTTTCGTCGGCGTGCGGGTTGCAGAGCCCGTGCTCCTGGGGCTGGGCTCGGACCGGGGCTCTGGGCCTGGCTTTTCTGCTCCCTGCGGTGTAACTCTGACTGAGTTACTCTAACTTCTTTGCACTCTGGTTTCCTGTCTATAAAATGTCAGAACTGAACTGGCCCCAAGTTCACGGGGCGACAATGCTGCAAGGGCCCCGAGTCCCATTCGGAAAGAGCCGTGGGAAACACCCCGGTTACGGAGGCTTCTTCCTACAGGGAAGGGTGCTAAGCAGTGGCTGGGGGTGACCGTTTCTTCTCTAGGCTGGGTCCTTGCGGCGAGGGAGCCGTTCACGGCCACAGTGAAACACCCATTGGGACAAGCACCCCTGATTTTCTAGACCCGCTTTCTTATGAAATATGTTCATGTGTCATTATTTAAGAAAGTTCAAAAGAGGTAACTCAGCTTTTATATTTGTTAGGTAAAGATGTACTATTAATCATCACTGAAGATATGTTATTATTGATCTTTTCTTTATTGATTTTAGAGAGAGAGGAAAGGAAGAGAGAGACAGAGAAACACTGATGAGAGAACATCAATTGGCCGCCTCCTGCATGCCCCCCACTGGGGATCGGGCCCACGACCTGGGCATATGTCCTGACCAAGAATCGAACCAGCGACCTCTTGGTACAGAGTTGACACTAAACCACTGAGCCACACTGGCTGGGCTGTTCTTACTGATTTTTGAGAGAGGAGTGGGGAGAGAGAGAGAGAGAAAAACATTGAAATGTGAGAGGAACATTGATCTGTTTCCTCACATATGTGCCCCAACTGGGGATCAAACCCAAAACCTAGGCGTGTGCCCCGACGGGGAATCAAAGCCACAACCGTTTTGTGTGCGGGACAATGCTCCAACCAACTGAGCCACCCTGGCCAGAGCTGCTAGGTAGGAGTTTGATAAGTGCTGTGTCTCATGATTGTTTAGTTATCTCTGAAAAAATGATGGCAGTTTATATCTATAGTTTGGATGCCTGATTAAAAATTTTTTTTTCTTTATTGATTTTTAGAGAGGAAGGGAGAGGGGAGAGAGAGAGAGAGAGAGAGAGATGGAAACATCAATGAGCGAGAACATGGATTGGCCGCCTCCTGCATGCTCCGCACTGGGGATCGGGCCCACAACCTGGGCATGTGCCCTGACCGGAAATCGAACTGGCAACCTTTTGGTGCATGGGTTGACACTCAACCACTCAGCCACACCGGCCAGGCTGGATGCCTGATTTTTAAATGTCTTTACTTAATTGTTAATAATCGTATCAAGACCCAATGTATACTTAAAGAGAGACACCTTCAATGGTAGTGGTGAAAGTTCATGATTTCAAGAAGTCTTGATTGTAACTAGTTTTTGGAAGACTGTACTATTTATTTTTGGTGTCACTTCTGGGCAAAACAATTTTTTAAATTTATTTTTATTTACATATAATTGGTATACAATCTTCTATTGGTTCTATTAATTTCAGGTGTACAGTACAGTGATTTGACATTTTTATTCCTTACAATGTGATCATCCCATTAATTCTAGTAATAATCTGTCAGCATATAAACATCACAGTATTATTGACTATATTCTCCTTCCCCTTTTCACCCTTCCCTACCCCCTTTCTGAAACCATTCCTTTGGTCTCTGTTTCTGAGACTGTTTCTGTTTTGTTTTGCTTATTTTGTTTTTAGCTTCCACGTACAAGTGAAATTATATGGTATTTGTCTTTCTCTGCCTGACTTATCTAGATCTATCCGTGTTGTCACAAAAGGCAAGATTTCTTTCTTTTTTATTGCTGCATAATATTCCATCACATAGATGTACCACATCTTCTTCATCTACTAGTCTATTGACAGATACATAGGTTGCTTTTCTATTTTGGCTCTAGTAAATAATGCTGCATTGAACATAGGGGGTGCAAGTATCTTTTTGAATTTGTGTGTTTATTTTCTTTGGATAAATACCCAGGAGGGGGGAATTGCTGGGTTGTAGGGTGTATATCCTTTCAGTTTCTGGAGGAATTTCCATACTGTTTCCCACGTGGCCATGCCAGTCTGTAGTCCCACCAGCAGTGCTCAAGTGCTCCCGTCTCTCCATCTTCTCACCAACACACGTTACTTGCTGACTTTTTGATAATAACCGTTCTGACCGGTGAGGCGGTAGCTCCTTGTGGTTTTGAGTTGCCTTTCCCTGGTGACTAGTGACGTTGGGCGTCTTTTCATGTCGGTTGGCATCTGTATGTCTTCTTTTGTCTTTTCATGTCCTCGGCCCGTTTTTTGATCGGACTGTTTATTTTTTTGCTATAAGTTGTGTGCGTTTCTTACGTGTTTTGGATATCAACCCTTTCTTTGATGCATCCTTTGCGGGTATGTTCTCCCACTCAGTAGTCTTTTCATTTTGTTGAAGGTTCCCTCACCGTGCAGAGCTTCTCAGTCCGACGGAGGCCTGTTAGTTTCTTTCTCTTCCTTCCGTGCCCCATGCTCGAGGGGTGTCTAGAAGATGCCCTCACACTGATGCCGGATAGGTTACTCCTTGTGTTTTCTTCTAGGAGTTTTATGGCTTCAAGCCTTACACGTAGGTCTTTAACCCATTTTGAATTTATTTTTTATATGGTGTAAGAGAATCATCCAATTTCATTTTTTTTTAAGTATCTGTCCAGTTTTCCCAGCACCACTTGCTGAAGTGACTGTCTTCGCCCCATTGTATATCTTTACCTCCTCTGCCACATATTAATTCCCATGTGGGCCCGGGGGCACCTCTGGGCTCTCTGTTCTGTTCCACTGATCCACGTGCCCGTTCTCATGCCAGAACCGGGCTGTTTTCATTACTATGGCCTTGCAGTGTCGTTGGTTATCAGGTCGCAGGATACAACCAACTTTGTTCTTCTTCTCTAAGATTGCTATGGCCGATCGGGGTCTTTTGTCATTCCACGTACATTTCAGGGTTATTTGTTCTAGTTCCGAGAAGAACGACTGGTATTTTGATAGGAATTGCACCTGTAAGTTGCTGTGGGTGGTAGGATCATCTTAACGCTGTTACTCTTTCCAAACCGTGAGCACGCTGTATCCTTCTGTGAATTTGTGTCTCTCATTTCCTCCTGCAACGTGGAAGACTGTGTTCTCTGTCGGCCGGTCATCGCCTTCAGTTTCAACGCGGCCGACGCAGGGCTTTGCTGGCGGGTCGGGAGAGAGGTCACCTGGGGTGCGGGGGTGTCTGCATCTCCAGGCGTGACTTCAATCCACGGTTCTCTGCACGCGTAGTTTCAAGTGCCTTGTTTATTTTCGCGAGGGCTAGTTCAGTTACAACCAGGTAGCGAGTAACTTCATGAGACCAGGCTCTGCAAACCATAGTGCATCACGAATATAATGCTGGGGTCCCCATGGGATGTCTGCATCACAGTGAGACAGTCCCGGGAACCTGGGAGCACGCAGGGTCCGCATCCATCAAACACCCAAAACTTAACATATCGGGGTGGGCAAAAGTAGGTTTGCAGTTGTTCGTGTGGAAAAGGGCATGCCGGTCATGATGAGCACAATGGCTTTATTGACTCAAAAGAAGTCACAGTGCAACTGTAAACCTACTTTTGCCCACCCCTGCATATATTGTATGTACACGTGGACACAGGAAAGCAACAGGAAAATGCGCTCTGTTTTCTCCCGCACCCTGTGGGTTGGGTGCGTGCCCCGGGGTGTGCTTGCCACCTTGGAGACCACTGGTTTGAGAGATGAGCCCCCAGGAGGCATGAGAACAACAAGTAGCCTCTTGTTGTCGGGTGGTTCTTGTCAGCAAACCCTCCGGTGGGTCTGAAAGTCTGGGGAACCCTCCAGAAGCTCTCAGGGTGTGGGACCTTCCACCAGGTCCTCCCCCCTCCCCGGGGACATGATTCCGATGACATTTCAGAGGAGAAGCCAGGATGGCACGTTCACACCTAGAGAGCACTCAGGGACCCTCAAAGCCAGGTGTTGGACAGGCGCGCGGCACGGCGAGCTCAGCACAGTATTCCTTCTTTTCCTTGTCACGTGACGAGACGCCGCCGCAAGGACGACTTTCCTGCTTTGTGATGATGTCAGGTGAGCCACAGAGCAGTTGCGCGTGATCCCATCGCTGCAACCCGGGAGCTTGTCCGACGCGTCCTGCCCTCCAAGTCAGGTGGACAAACATCATCCGTGTCGGGGGCTATCCAGCCCATCACACCCCGGTCCGTTCCTCCTCGATCACGCTTGGGGCCTCCCCTGCTGCTGAGAAAACAATGATTTGCGTCGCTGGGCTCTGGGTCCGAGTTAAAATGCCCGCTATCCCAGGAACCAGGCAGTGCGGCGTGCAGAGGGCGGGGGCCAGTCACTCTCCATTCTGCTCCACAGGCAACTCTCCCGCCAGCTGTAGCCTGGACGGCTGCATCCTGACCACCCAGGAGGAGGAGGACATGATCAGGCAGAAGTGGGACCTGCCCGGCCACAGGTGGAAAGCGCTGCTCCCTGTCACGCAGGTGCGGGGACGCCAGGGCCCGCACCCACACTCGCGGTAACGGGACACGAGGAGCCTCTCCACCGTGTCTGCACGTGTATCCGACACGAAGGGCTCCGCTTCTCCTGCTGGTGCACACCTACCTAGGAAATTTTGTTGCAAGTATCATGTGCAAAGAATGCCGATGGGGAAAAGTTTCTGCATCACGTTAACTTTCTAGAAAGTGTGGCGAGCTTGTTGAAAGCTGTGGCGGTGTGTCCACCTGCGGGGCGGAGGCCGAGGTGCCGAGTGTCTGCTGTCATTGACTGGGAGGGTCCCTGTGGGCGAGAGCAGAAGGTGAGGGCTGCTCCCTCGTAAGGATGGGGACAGCCCCGGACACCATGTCACTTCTTCTTCTTATCAGTTTGCCCACTTAGTGAGCTCTTCACACCACAGTCGTTGGGGGGTCTGGGTATCATGTCAGTGTTGTCTGGGTGTCCTTTCCCTACCAGCAGGTGTCTGCGGGGCGCCAAGTCGTTATCAGTGGGTAACGCGTAGTTTTTCAGGATCCCGACCCCAAGCCGGCGGGTGGAGCTGGCCAGTCGGCCCCTCTGGCGGTTTCAAGGGCCCCCGCCACCTCTCTTGCAGCTGTCTCCCCACAGAAGTCACGTGCTCGACAGCCTCACCCTGGAGCTCCAGGACGTGGTCACCCACGCGAGGCTCACCATCTGCCCGGACGGGGGCGTCAGCCGCCTGCGCCTGAAGGGGTTCCCCAGCTCCATCTGCCTCCTGCGGCCCCGGGACAAGCCCATGATGAGGTTCTCAGTGAAGGCCGGGTTCAGGTCCAACCTGTAACTCCACGGAGCTGCCGTGTTCTGGCCACACAATGACCGAGTTGCATTCTTCTTCTGAAGCATTTTCAACCCCCGAACCTTAACAAGTTTCTGGCAATTAATCATTTTCAGATCAGTAGGATTCCTGGCGATTCAATAAAGTGGTCACGCACCCTGGTATCCGCACTGAATGTTGCCATGGGGTGGGGGGCGGGTTCAGAGTCGTCTGTAGCTGCGGGTGCGATCGCTCAGGGCGACATTCTTTAGAGGATACTGGACGTTCATGTTTGTCGTGTGTGGATCCAGCCCGTGAGACAGAGCCTGTTGTCTTTGAAAGTTTGAGACGTGCTTCTAAGACAGATCTCTTACCCTTTGAGACGACGTGGAGGGACCTGGAGAGCATTATCCTAAGCGAAATAAGCCAGTCAGAGAAGGACGACTATCACATGATCTCACTTATCTGTGGAATACAACGAACAAGATGGGCTGATGAACAAAACAGACCCAGAGAGACAGAAGGGAGTACGGTTCAGACTGACAAACCTCAGAGGAGGGGTGGGGGAGGGACGAGATAAACCAAAGAACTTATGTGCATATACGCGTGACGAATGGACATAGACAACAATGCTGGGGGTGGGGGGGTAGGGAGGAGAGTGTCTAGGGGGGAAAGGAGAAACATCTGTAACAAAAATAAATGAATAAAAATGGCAAAAAAAAGAGATGTGTTTCTAAATCATTTCTTGTCACAGCTCAAAGGACTGGCCTGTCTTTATCCAGACCAGGGACTGACTGTCCCAAGGATGCACGTGTTCTGGAACTTTCCTTCCCCAGATGGAGACACACTCTGGGTGCCAACCTTCCCGACACCCGCGCTGGAGTGAGGAGTCACCCGCTCCGCCCCTGTGCCCGGGTGATGACCCAGACACCTTCTCCCCAGGTGGAAGGCAGGATGCCCACCCCGAGGCGGGGACCCTGGGTCGGCTGCCGTGGTCAAGTCCCTGTTGCTGAGATGAGGACACGGAGGCTCTGAAGGCTCAGGCCCCCCAGGACCACCAGGTTTGGGTGGTGGGGATGCTCCTGGTGCCCCTGCCCCCCACTGTCCCCGCCAGCTTCTGCAGAGGAGGGCACTTGGCTTCTCTGCACCTCCCATTCCTGAGACAGCGCAGTTCTGACTCCTTTGTGGGCTCTCGGACCCCTCACCTGCCCGGGCTCTCGGTCCCCTCACCTGTCTGGCTTGGCCGTCCCCGCCCCCAGCAGAAGGCAGCAGTCACAATCGCCAGGGTGGCATCAACACAGGCAGGAGCGCTGGACCTGGGCAGGGTCAGTCCTGCTCCTGTGCCCCGGCTGCCTGGTGCACCGAGCAGACTGTGCCTGGCTGGCCACGGGCATGTGTGGCCCCGTGTGCTGGTGGGCGCCATGTGGCCACCTTCGCGGTGCTGCTGGGGCAGCTGATGGAGCAGGTGTGGGTGCCGTCGGGGCTTCTGTACACGCCCACAGGCGGCCAGGGCCCGAGAGCACTTTGAGCAACTCCAGGGAGCACACGGGTGGGACCAGGTGGGTGAGGGCTGGGAAGGGCTCAGGACTCCCTCCCCTGTGCCGAGGTCAGGACAGCAGCCAGGACGACATCCTGTCCTGCCGGGAGAGCTTGTGTCAACGCCAGGGCCACTGCAGGAGGTGGGCGTGGAGACTGGCCGCCTTGAGCGCGCGGTTGTCCTAGGTGCCGCCCCCACAATGCCGACTCTGCTCTCCGTGGTTTAGCCTGAGCAGGTGCTGCTCCCAGGAGGTCTTCCTGCTCGGCAGGTCTGCTGACCCTCCCGGGGTGCCTTGGGCTCCAGGTAACTGCTCTAACCCTCGGTCACTGTCACTGGACACATTGCTTTGCACCCTGAATCTCAGTCTTGCAGTTCTTCCCCCACAAAAAATGTTTTTATTGATTTTTTTAGAGAGAGAGGAGGAGAGAGAGAGATAGAAACATCTATGTCATCTATGGGGGCTGAATGACCCTTTCACAGGGGTCACCTAAGAGGATTGGAAAACACATATTTCTGATGGCGATTCATAACAGTAGCAAAATTACAGTTATGCTCACCCGAGGATATTTTTCCATTTTTTGTACAGATAGAGTGGGAGGGAGAGAGAGGAAGGGAGAGAGAGAGAAACATCGACGTGAAGGGACACATCGAGTGGCTGCCACCCGCACGACCAACCAGGGCCGGGGACAAACTGCAACCGAGGTACGTGCCCTTAGCGGGAACCGAACCCGGGTCTCTCAGGACCGCAGGCCAACGCTCTAACCGCTGAGCCAAACCGGCCAGGGCGCAAAATTACAGTTATGAAGTAGCAACAAAAGTAATGTTATGGTTGGGGGTCACCACAACATGGGGAACTGTATTAAAGGGTGGCGGCATCAGGAAGGTTGAGAACCGCTGATCGATGTGAGAGAGAAGCATCGATCGGCCGCCTCCTGCACGCCCCCTAGTGGGGAATCGAGCCTGCAACCAGGGCAGGTGTCCTGACCGGGAATCGAACCTGGACCTCTCAGTCCCTGGACGACGCCCCGTCCACTGAGCCGCACCGGCCGGGCAGTCGTGCGGTTCTTCATCGAGTAGCTGCCAGGTCTTCCTGGAGGGGAGCCACAGGGAGCCGCACTGGCTGCGGGCTGCCTCGTGTGGGACATGAGAGACACAGAGAAGGAGCCACGCGGGAGGAAGTGTCACTGCTTTGGCGGAGCACAGTCTGATTCCGTCCCCGTGCAGGACCCCAGGGGAGGCTCCTCGAGGCAGGGAAATGTGTTTCTCAGTCCTGCTGAAGTCCTGGCCTGCCTCAGCCTCACCTCCACCTCGTCTGCCTTCCAAAGGTGAGATTAGCGTTCTGCACATCGCTGCCAAACCCATCTGTCCTATGGTGAGATTTAGTGTATGCAGAAGAGTGTATACAATTCTTTGTGTAGTTTAACAAACAGTACTAAAGCGAATTGCTGTGTAAACCACAGACTGGACTGCGGGAAAGAGAATGACCCTTCTTCACACCCTCCGCCGTCACCCCCACAGGTAACCGCAATTGCGGCTTTTGTAACAACCATATTTTCATCATTATCTGTCCTCGGAAGGTAGATTCTTCAATGTTTTATGTCTGCCGACTTTATATAAGTGCAATTATCCTGCAGCTATTTTTCTGTCACTTGCGTTTTCACACAGTTATATACACGTGAGACTCATCTATGTTACTAGCATGCAGGTCATTCATTTTTATGGCTATGTATTATTTCATTGATTAATGTACCGGTTTATTTATCCAATCTGTCGATGGATAATTTGGGTTGTTTTTAATTTTATGCTAAAATAAGCAACACTGTTTCAAACGTTCTTTCACCATCTCCTGGTGTGTGGGGGCGAGATTCCCCCTAGGAGGGTGGATTAGTTATCGCTGCTGCATCACCAGTTCCTACCAGGCTTCTTGGCTGACGACAGCGTGTGTCATCGCACAGTTTTGTGATCAGGGGTTCCAGAGCTGCCGCGCTGAGCGGGCCTGGCTCAGAGATGCTCGTGCAAATGCCCACCTGGGTGTGCGCTTCTAGTTACTCCCGTGGCCTCGGCAGGAGGCTGCAGCCCTGTCGTGTGAGCCTGTCCACAGGAGACCTCGCAGCGGGACTCCCAGGCTGAGTGACCCCGGCTTTGTTGTTACTGACGGCTTTGTTATACTGTCTCCCCTTTCCATTTGCCTAGTTCTCCTTGACGGTGTGCTGGACATTACTTTTAAAACCCTGACTTTTAGCCCTGGCCGGTTTGGTTCAGCGGTTAGAGCGTCGGCCTGTGGTCCAGAGAGACCCGGGTTCGGTTCCCGCTAGGGGCATGTACCTCGGTTGCAGTTTGTCCCCGGCCCTGGTCGGTTGTGCGGGTGGCAGCCACTCGATGTGTCCCTTTCACATCGATGTTTCTCTCTCTCTCTCTGTTCCTCTCTCTCCCTCCCACTCTACCTGAACAAAAAATGGAAAAATGTCCTCGGGTGAGGATAAAAAAAATAAAAAATAAAATAAAACCCTGACTTTTAGAAACAATGTGAAGCCCAGGACGATACCGCCCTTCGCCGACGTGGATTTCTGTGTCCTCAGCGGCGGTGACTACTGTGACACAGCTCAGAGTGTGGGATGATGTGGGTCATCGGGACGGATTGGAGCCAGGATGCTGACCCTTCCCAAGGGCAGCGCAGCGGGTCCCAGCGCCCAGTGAGGGGTCGGTCTCTAGAAACCATCGTGGGCTGACGAGTTCTTGCCTGCTGGCCACAAGAGGCCAGGACAGGTGCACCTCGACTCCTCATCTGTCTGTCCCCAGCCGACAATACCCCATGGGCCAAGGTGTCCCCGGGTGTAGGCACATATCTTCGGGTTTTCTTTCTTTCCTGGATGCAGTCTGGTTATCCCTCCTGTCTTGTTTGATGCCTTCTGTTTCCAAAAAAGGTTTTCATTCTGTCCATTTTATTTTTGTGGAGGGTTGACCAGGGGGGGATGTCCTCCCTCCTGTACCCAGGACGTGTATTTTTATCAGCTCTCGGACCCTGGGTGACAGTGTCCTTCAGGCCATAAAAGGTATTTCCCACTGTCTCCCAACTTAGAGGTGGCGGAGGAAACAGCTGCTATCATTATTCACTTAAAAAAACAAAGAAGCAATATTTTATCCTTTTGGCTATTTAGGACCATCCTCTTCGAAGTCAAGTGCTGCGGTGTGAATTCTGTGTCAGTGCAGGCTGATCAGATTCTCTGCGTCCCCGGGGTGGTGGCTTCATTGGTTCCGGGAGGGTCTCAGCCACTGTGCTCTCGCGTGATGCCCCTCTCTTAGGCTTCGTCACCTTCTTTCTGGATCTGAGTGGCCGTGGGTTGGCCTGTGGCGCTGAGTGTCACTCCGACAGTCTCCCCCTGTTCAGGACGTTCTCTCCCTCACATCTCTGCTCCACGTTCCTCACACGGGCCTTCTGGCTAGTTCTGCTCTCAGGGAGACGCTGGGATCCAGGTACTACGCTAGTTGT